CACTGATAGCACAGAATCTGCAGTAACTGCTCTATCAAAGCTATATGAAACATCTATACATGAGGACAAAGATCCAAACATTGTTATTGTTCAGATACCACTGAAATGTTTACATGCAAGGACATGGCAAATGCAGACTTATATCTTATAAAGACAGAAGATACTGAAAGGACATTGTCTCTGCAATATTATTACAGTGTAATACTCACAATGTCATTGACAACTTTCAAGTAATGAATGATTTTCATTGATCACAATAACATTACACTTTTGTACCAAGAGTTCCATTCACTATATAATACTTAAAATGTATACCAATATCTTGTTATAATAATAAACAGTTTTTTACTCTTAATAAACTAAATACATACAGTGAAATTATTTACAAATTTGATATTGATACACAATAGCAATTCTAACTCAACACAGAAAAAACACTGAAGACATAATGCAGTCAAAGTGGGTGTTTTTTAATAGGATTTTATCACACCGATTGATCACCAGCATATGACATCATCAAATTATACTCATGCGCTACACCCCAACGGCAACTGTTACGAGGGTGCATGTGCTTGGTCTTTTTGCATTGGTCTTCAAGGGAAACGGACGTCATGGCTAGAAATCCAATACAGTATGCGGTTTAATGTGCAGGCTCAAAATTGCGTAAATTTTTGGATTGGCATAAATAAACATGGCGGTTTGTTTCTACAAGGAGTTGAATGAGTTGAGCACAGCTGATTTTTATACTGAGGGCAAGACAAAACGAGGAAGATATTTCAAAGTTAAGAGGGTAGTGTCAAGAAGAATCCGTAAACATAAAGTTAGTTGCTTTAACATTTAATTATCAGTTTAGAAATTGGAATATAATATTGTAATGATATATTTGTATAGTATACAGAGTATTTACTATTATAATCACTACACAAATTTTCAACTTCAAGCTAAATATCTTGGTAAATGGAAGAGCTATAGTTCATTATATAATACTTGGGAACCAGAAGGGAATCTAAATGAGCTAGCTGTAAGGCAGACATTAGCCGAATTTATATTAGAAGACGGATTTTTGTCTGAGACAGAAAACTCGTCTGACGGCCATGAGAGAACTACTTGTAAAGAAAACAACTAAATTTAAGGTACTTGTTTCACCAGAACGTCAGCTAGGACTAACTCTTTATTGATTGGCGCATGGGTGTGCTTTCATTACAGTCGGCCATCTTTTTGGAATTGCACCTTGTACCGCTTGCTAGATTTTCAATGAGGTAATTCGCCTAATAATCTTTGTTTTCTATGATGAAAACGTACGTTTACCTTCAACAGAACAGGAATGGGAATCTGAATTAAAAGCCTTCCTTAAAGATTATGGATTTCCATGTGTTGGGGCCTGGGATGGCTTTCACATATACATCGCTAGTAATTTGAAGAACCTCTATTGCTTCAAAAAAAGGTATTCAATCACAAGCATGGGACTGGTTGGGGCAAACAAAAGGTTCCTTTGGGCCGGAGTGGGTGCACCTGGATCAATGCATGATTCTACCCTTCTCAAGTGGTCGGCGTTAGATCATATCGAACTAACGTACATGACGTCATAAATTTTACAATAATTAGTATAATAACAGAAGTATAATAACAGAAGTCTTACATGAAGTCTTTCTAGAGCTGGTTCATAAAAATTATAAAATAAAAATGGCGATGAATGATGATATATTTATACATTTATAAATGTACACAAAGTGTAAAAAGTGTACCCTCATACCCAGTATAGGAGTGATCATATACTTATGTAATAGTATCTCTGGCTTTACCTTAGGGTTAGGGTTATTGAAAATTTTATGACGTCATGTACGTCACGACCTTCTCAAGTCCACTCCAATTTTCATTCAATTAAATCGAAGATGGAAATTTGCTTCCAAATAAAGTTCTTAAACTACCAGGGTATGGGGAAATCCCATTTGCAATGGTGGCAAGCTTTTGTAGTATCCGAGTACACCTTGCAATCCCATTTGCAAGGCGTACCCGGATACTACAAAAGATCAAAAACAGAAGTACTTCAATACCAAACTAAGGTCCGCACAAGTTGTATCTGAGCACGCTTATGAAATGTTAAAAGGACGGTGGCGTATAACATAAAAAAAGATGGAGTGTCGCAAGCGTAATGCTGCATCTGTTATCATGGCTTGCATCGCATTGCACAACTTGTGCATCAAGTATCACGATCCATGTCTACCAAGATGGCAACTAAAGGTGAAAAAGCTTAATTTAATCCGAAAGCCGACCAAGACAACAATGGACAAGAAATTATTGAAGAAAATTCGAGTCACCAAGTGGTTATGGTCCTTGCGATCTTAAGAAAGCTACAGAAGTATTAACGTAGTCTCTATGTACTTTGAAATTGATGCATTTGCAAAAGGTTGTTAATCAACATCAAGTAACATTCAGAGGCATTCTCTTAATATGGTTAAAACTAATGAACGATTTGTTAAATCTATTTAAGGCCATTTCCCTGTCACTTTCAAGCCTTCTTCCCATGGCTATGTAATTCTGTAAAGAATTATTAAGGAATAGAAACAGAAGTTTAACCCATTAGCTTGCAATGCACCCAGGTGTGCCCTACTTTAGTATTTTTTATGTGAGATGATTTTACTCATCAGTGAAAGAGTACTGCCAGTTAATGAGTTAACAAAACTATCTGTCAGGGTCTCTTGTTAACCTATTAGCTTGCAATGCACCCAGATGTGACCTACTCCAGTATTTTACTGTATCTAATGCTACACAATTTTACTCATCTGTGGTAGAGTACTGTCAGATAATGAGTTAATAACTATTACACATTACACTATTACTTCCATTGCACTGAGAAATCACAAGTCAAGTCTATGTTTCACATTACTGTTTTCACAAAGACACACAGAAAACAAAGACTGAACAAAATTATTTTAATAACCAAGAAATATGAAGTTTAAACAAAGCTATTGTTTTAACCTTGTTAATTTGGGAGTTTATAATGCTATGAAAAAATATGAAGTATGTAACGGCCGTAGCGCAAGCTTTTCGAAACAACAAAGATTTGCCTACGTCACAACGTGTTTTAGAGTTCGAAGAAACAAATTCAGGGATATATTTTACAGGCAACAATTTATTAGTCTTGACCAAGTAACAACTTTACACCTCAAGAATCATTAAAGTTGTCGATTATAGTTGTCGTAAACTGAAATAACGAATATATATCATGAATTCCTAATTACTATACCAGCTAAAACTACTAAACTGTATCTTAAACTAAAGGAATAATAAGCTATACAGATTATGTATGAATACGTATCACATGCACCAAAACATGTTCTAAAACAGCTCAATCTTATCATGCAATTACAAAGACTAACAAGCTAAAAGAGAAACTACAAACTAACTAAATAACAATCGTAAAAGATAAACTTACATAACAGTCCCACTTTGTCGAGGCAAACGATGCACAAACCGAGATGTTCGAACAGATGGATGAGCTCTCATAACGTTTTCAATCAGCTTCCAGGAGTGCTTGAAGCCGGACCTCTTTATTTTTTTCTTGTTGAACACTGCTGTTCTCAATACTCTTAGCCACTTGAATCATTGCCTCACTCTGAGATTTGGGTTTAGAATTTCTTCGTGAATGAAATTTAATGTTTGTCTTATTTGGACTTCTTTTAGTCAGCTACTTGCCTCTTGCAATGGTGTTGCTTGAGCCTTCAGATTCTTCCATAGTATCAACATTGGATGATGCTCTGGCACTGCTTGAAGCAATGCTAATTCTTATTAGTGGAATCGTCCGACATTTCACCAGATGTACTGATATGCTGACGGGTATTTGATTCAAAACTGCTATCTAAACTGTCATTATAACTTTCTTGTCGGTCTTCATCACTACAATTATTCAAATCACTTGCTCTTGTCAAAACAGATGTCATGTCATCCACTGCTTGACAGAAATGTGGATTTAAAACATCATACCAACTTGGTGTATTTGTGTCCTTCCCTCCAAGCCCACTACCACTTTTAGTTTTATTGTCAATTCGATGCCACTCTTTTTTGAACCATTTGTGTTTTGTACGCAACTGTTCAATTGTAAATTTATCCTCAACAGAATCTTCTTCGAAACTATTTTCAAATTCCTCTTGAATATTTATGAACAGTTGCTCATTTGCGTGCTTTTTAACGCGTAATTTTCAAGCTGATTTAACCAGGAATGTTCCTGTGTATCGGTGTTAACCAACACACAAGCAAATACATTCATCTTCTCATCTGACCAGACTTTGTTTTTCTTGTTTTCTGGCAAACCATTTAACTTTCTTACATTTTTCTTTCATATTTGTACCCTCTTCTGCCTCTTGGATGACATTTTGTATCCCAATATACACAGCGAATCTTAGTTACCAGTCTTTTTTATTTTTGAGCTAAAATTTGTCTGATTTATTCCTCTGATATAAATTTAGGATGAGTTTTCCATCTCTGACAAGAAATTCGTCCAACTTCTCCGTTGTTTGAATGGAAAAGTTTGACGGAGAAATTAAGACGAAGAACCTATGGTTTACCGAATTTATATCAAGACGAGTTACCCGTCTGCGTCGAGTTCTCCGTCTCAGATGGAAATCCGTCTTGTAATATACGGCTACTAATTAAACTTGTTTTGATCAGTATATATTTGAGAGAGTTTACAGGCATATAAATTCTAGACTGTTGTTTTCCTTGTTAGAAAAATCATTTATTATTAAACTTCAATAATTAAAGTGCCTCTAACACAGTTTTTTTGAAAATTGAATTTAGATAAAATGTCTAGCTTTTATGGCGTCATGAATTAAGCTTTTTATGGCTCAAGGACGTGGAAATTGGGAGTCTGGGTCTAGCGTTTGTTTTAACGTCACACAAGGTAGTCGGTATTTTGCTTTGATCTTCATTCTTCATTTGAGCTTTCGTTGTTTACAGTCAAACGTGTTGCGACTTTTTAGTTTGCATATTGTTCGGTAATCATGTCCAGCAGTGAATCCACTTCTGATAGTTATCAGTTTGATGACTCGGATATAAATTTTACTCTGGGGTATGTTATTATCAAAGATGTGGGAATAAATAACGATGGCAATATTCATCATGACGATTCTGAGGATTTGTATTGCTGGCGCTTATGCCAAAGAACCTTTAGCAGACAAAGCCTGGCTGGAAAACTACAACCGATAAGAGCAAGAGCGGTTAAAGATAGAAGAGAAGCTCTTGAGAAGACTAAATAGCATGACAAAAATTAAGTGAGTAGTAAGCAATTCTTAGTATTAGTGTATTAATAGCAAATATTTTGCTATTATAAACTTTAGTATATGTATCATACACATGTTCACATACCTTGTTTTGGGTTATTTTTAGGTGCAAGTGTGGTAACTGCGGAATAAACCTTCTTAGCAATAGCTATGAATGCTTTTGTTGTTCTGAGCTTGAAGGTTGCGAGGAAGCATTAAAAAGTAAGGAAGTTTTGGAAGAACTCAAAGCCGAAGGGATTCTAGATGTGAAATGCATCACGCAGCACCCAGGGTTTAGTCAGGTCTGCTTACAAAAGTGGAGTTTAAAGTTAGCTGCTGACAGGTACAAGACAAAATCTAGAGCAAGATATTGTCAAGAAGGAACAGAGAATAGGTAGGTTCAATGCTGTCATCCACTGCATAATGGCAACAGTGATGCAAATTACCACCAGAGTAGCTACATGAAATACTGTGTATTAAAATATACTGTATGCATAACATAGTATGTGGAAAAGGTGAATTTTTGCCACACAACAAGGTTCTCACATTGACATTTTAACAGTTTTTGTATGCATAATTTTATGCTGTTTTCCTGTTTTCAGATTTCTTCGCAGTGTATCCTATAGAGAGTTTACAAGGTTGGTGCATGGACTAATTGGCAAAAAGCAGATACCCCTACCATCTTGTGCATACATGGCCATAAGAAAAGTGTTTCCAGTTAATGAAAAGGAAAACTATACTGGGATATGCAGACGAATCTGACTCAGAATAAAATAATTGTATTGAAAGTTTGTACAGACATGGACAGCTCCCCTTTTGTAAAAAGATAATCACATAGAATATTTTTATTTGTATCAAGCCTGGATCAACCGAGATGAAAGTTAGTGAAGGAAACTAACATAGGGTAAAATAGATTATGTGTTATGTGGAAAGTGGCTAACACACAAATATTTGAATTTATATACTCAATTCATGTGTTGTGAACACTTATTTCCTCTTTTCCATGTCTCAAAAGTCAAAACGTGCCATGACTTGCATCTTGTTTTGATCTGGGCTTTAGGGTTTAACTGTGCTTTTTATTTCAATATTATATTTACATTGCTTCGACATTACATGTTATTTGAAGTGTTCACATGGTTATTGGTTTTTAGGGCAGTCCTTTACATTTTTGTGCCCTTTCATTGGCTGTTTGCACATTCTGCAGCGCTTTACAACTTCTTTCTTCTTAGCTGCTTCCTTCTGTTTCTTCTGTGCCAAAACCTGTGATACTGTAAGAATTTACCAGCTTTTAGAAACAGTAATATATCTAAATAGTAAGGAACTGAGAAGTCATATTTTGAAGCAATAAACATATGTACTTGGAGTAGTGGGTGGGATGTCTTTGATTACCATTTTACTTCTTTCTCACCATTTTTTTAGAGCCTCTGCATTTGTTTGCTTTTGAAGCATTGTGTCCATTGGCTTTGGACAAATGTCTTTGAGCTTCAGCATCGCATCTTTAATTTCTTTTTGTGAAGCAATGCAAAATGCTTCATAAATCTCCTGGATATATGCTGTAAGATAAAAAGCAAAATGTTCCATAAATCTCCTGGATATATGCTGTAAGATAAAATTTTATCTTCTGTACTGTATGTAGAACAGCAGTATATTAAGTAAACTTTATAATATGGTAAGGTAAACTTACAGAAATCTGGTGCAACTTTATCATTCTAACTGTTGCTTCACCATTTTTAAATTTAGGGTAAGTGAATTTCAACCTTTCACTCTTGTCACTTTTTCTTGTTTTTAATCTCTGTGCAGGTTAAAATTAAAATAAACCACAGCCAGTATATGTCTAAAAAACAATTGGAGCAGTTTCAATAGAGGTGTGCAAAAATTTTTCATGCAACAAGTTACTACTAACCTGCAGTACTGTCCTCGATACCAGTATGCTATCATCTTTGAGGAACACTGATTCAAAACACTATGAAACCCTTCTAGGCAACTTGTCTGGTCTAATGGAGAGGCCTGCTTAATTCCTTTCACCAGTCTTGCATTATTAAATGCAGCAGAGACTTTCTCATGGAGTGTTGAATCTGAAGGATAAGAAATAAAGCAAATAAGTGCCAGAGTACAATCCAATTTTAGGATAGTAATATAAATATGGTATTTAATACAAACCAGTTTTAAGCCACTTTCTTGCTGGAATGTCATTGCCATGAGCATATTTATTGAAAAGTGGATCATCGTGACCTGTATGTTGGTTGGTAATGTGGTGTGAAAAGGACTTAAATTTGGCCGCTATCACCATACCATCACCATCAAATGTTGTTGTCGCACTCCACTGCAGACGGTTCTCACAGGGTTTAATCCATTCTTCTAAGGCTTCACAGTTTTTCTTTTTTGCAATTTTCGAAAGAGCCTTTCAAATTTCTAAATTAAACAGGAAACCGAATTGAATTTAAATGTTTTACATAATTTGTTGGGCTTTATGTATTACAATCCAATTTAATCAGGTTGCAGCATCTTGATATAACAACAGCGCAATCAGTTCTTTAACTGCCGAAAATATAATATATGTTACATCATTTATTGACTACTTTTTGGTATTCAACTTACTTTTCTTTAAGTGCCATATGTCAAAATAGTGTGTGATGCTTTTCAGTGTAGCTCACATGTAATTTGCAATTGAGGCATGTCTGTCCGAGATGAATGTTTTTATGTTCAATCCTTGTTTCAACAGGTAATCCATACAGGACTTAAGCCAATGAACTCCATGGCTGGACTGCTTCCTGCCTGATTTTCTCTATATTAGAAATATACTACTTATATATAACTACATACAATGGTAACACAGATTACAGTGATTATATTGTACCAAATTCATATAAAGCAACCCAATTATCCTACTTTACTGTACCTGAATAAGGTCAAAATGAATTATTTTTCCCATTGAACTGCAAAACATTGTATAGGCACAATATTTGGCAGAGTGCCCCATGCTGTCGTGACGGCCATCTCCTGCCAACACCAAGCCTTCTTTTACTGCCTTAGCTTATCCAATAGTTTAGCCTTTTCCAATATTTTAGCCTGGTATTTTTTCCAGTACAGATATACAGGGTGTATGAAAAAAATGTCCCAAATGTAAAATTTCCGTTTTTCAGGATATTTTGCAGAATTTGGCAAATTTTTGTGTTCCTAGAGATAGATAAGACTTATCTGGTATACCTAGGCCAAGTTTGGTTTTTCATTAACAAAATTATGTTACTGGGGGGGTGGTTCCTTTCCACTGATATTGAGAGGGCTTGCGCGCGAAAATGTGAAGCTCAAATTGAGATATTATTTAGCTGTCTAAAAGTAGGAAAGCTTTTTAATAAACTGTCAAAGTTTCAGGAAAAATAATGCATACTGGGAGCAACGCGCGACCCCTAAAGGTGACAAATATTTCATTGCGCGCAGTGGATTAAATGCATGGTTGATTTTAGCGTGACTGATCTCATGTAAGGCTGGGCAAATGAATAAATTAAAGCGAGGAACTGAACACAAAAACAAAGCAATTTCTTCGGGATGTTAATCCTCAGCATCTCCACCATTTCATTCTAAGCAAACTGCTTCTTGTCTGAGCATACTAAGCACTGAACAGTGAACCATTTGTCTTTCCATTCGCCTAGATTTGCCGGTGGTAGCGTAGGCGATTTGGAAGAAAGAATTTCGAACGAAATGGATAATTTGAGGCAGCACAGACAAATGTGGTTCGCCGTTCAGTGTTTACCATGCTCAGACGTTTGCTTAGAAAGAAATGGTGGAAATGTTGAGGATTAACATCAAGAATAAGAATCTTATTATTAAATCGCTTCGTCTTCTTGTTCAGTTTCTCGCTTTAATAAATCAACGATGCAATTTAATCCACTGCGCGCAATGAAATATTTGTCACTTTTAGGGGTCGCGCGTTGCTCCCAGTTTGCATTATTTTTCCTGAAACTTTGACAGTTTATTAAAAAGCTTTCCTACTTTTAGACAGCTAAATAATATCTCAATTTCAGCTTCACATTTTTGCACGCAAGCCCTCTCAACATCAGTGGAAAGGAACCACCCCCCCAGTAACATAATTTTGTTAATGAAAAACCAAACTTGGCCTAGGTATACCAGATAAGTCTTAACTATCTCTAGGAACACAAAAATTTGCCAAATTCTGCAAAATATCCTGCAAAACGGAAATTTTACATTTGGGACATTTTTTTTGATACACCCTGTATAGTAGGGAAAAACATTTTCTGAAAAATAAAATGTACATGTAAGTATAATTATTCTTGGTAATGAAAACTGTTTTGTTCTACTAGTCACATACCATCATATGATCAATAACTACAAAATTAGTCTATTAACCTACATTGTCAGCATATTGTATATATGAATTCTGTATATACGGAGTCGTTTGGTGTGTACAAACCTTTTGATAGCAAAAGTAGGTATTTAAAGAAACACAACCAAGGCCCATATGTAAGGAAATCTGGCGAACTTTAGAAATTGAATCACCTCCCAACAGAACTGACATGCATAGCAGTAAATTTCCAGCAGATATTTTTGTTCCAGAAACAAGGGGCTATGCCTCGTTGTTGTCTTCTGAGGGCAAGTCGGGTTGCTGCATGTGGTAGTGACAACAGCTTTCGTACCAACAGCCTTTGTTGTAACAAGAGGATTGTCAGCTTTACATCGCCAACTTTAACGGACATTGCGCTTGCAGTGCGAAAGCGGATGCTCCCAATAATGTAAACAATTTTACTATGTAAATCATAGTAAATACATTGCAATAGCAATAAAAACCGCGTTTTAAAAGAAATTGACTTTGTCTTCCTCATTTGCTCAAATGGAATACTGTTCCTCTACTAAAAATATACAGCTAAATGAAAAAAAATGTTGGAAAAACGTCAATTTACTTTTCCATTTAATGAATTATTTCTACTAGCGCAGGTCCTTCATTCACGTATTAAAACATTAAAATATGTCAAATATCAAGATTTATTTTCCAGATATTGGAAAATCTGCCCATTCTTTGTGATTTGCTCAAATAGGACACAAAACGTGAACATCTTTGCAAACTGCTCTCAAAATATGTCTGCAAATTAGGAGAACAACCTTTTCCATTTAGCTTGTGAAATCGAGTAATTTTTGCATTTGCTTGCATGAGATCACCATTACATGTAAACACTCGATCATATTTAGCTCATTAAAGTTCTTCGGGTTTTGAAGTCTACTTTCAAGCATTCCAATTTCCCTTTAGACGACGTGTTTGGTATCAAAATACTCGCCATGATCTGAAATTTCTAATGCTGTGATCGGTTGTGAGATATTGAAATCACGATCGACGCTATCAGCGGTTAAAGCCATTGCAATGTTTACTTCCGGTTTTGTGGACCGGGAATCGAAGGCGCTCTTACGCGCGCTCATTTAAAATTATAATATGTCTGATATTTTTAAACAAAATTATAATTTTGAGAAGTACAAAAGTGACGTTATTGTTGATACAAATCATTGTCTGAAATATGTAAGGAGGCAATGCATTAGTTCGGAAGAAGTTGCTTTCACACTTCATATAACTAACGAAGTTTTGAAAAGCTGGCAAGACTTTAAAGAGAAGGCTATCTTGTTATCGTTCAGCTACATCGAAATTCTTAACTGTTTTCTCTCCGAAAGCCACGCCGTGCTGGTCAAGAAAGATTGCAAAAGAATTGAGGAAATACTGAGGAAAGTTTGCTCAAGGGTTAAAAGCAATTTTAGGGGGA